ATCCACAATAATGTAGAAATGGTTTCCAACGGTAATCTGAGTCATTTAGAAATTTGAAGATATTAATACAACTACCTGAAAGGATATTTAGCAAAATTTGTTGGTTAGGGAGGGTGTTTATAATTTAATCCTCTCAAGTACCTACACCATTAACCGTAATTTATTACAGGAAAAAGTTAATCCTTCAAAATTTTAGGAAATCGACCTGTAAAGGCATTTCACAAAATATTATTTTGGTCTAAAACTCATAATTTTAATATGTCCAGTCAATTAGTACGTCAGATATATGCCAAAAATTAAAAAAATGTCAATATATGCATTCAAAATCAAAAATTGTATATATATGCAGCATATGCAAAATAAGGCGTTTTGCATATATTCCTAGCTCTACATATAAGAATTTCCTATACCTAAATTCAACCCACATACCTAAATTCAACGGTTTTTTAGTAAATATCTGTTAGTTTAACATAGCTAATTTTTGTAAATACTCTTTCCCGTCAAAGTGACCATTGAATTTAAATGTCAAATGCGAGTTTAACATTTCTATTTTGTTAGTTAGATATTAAATGTACGAAAAACCGAATTTTAAACATGAAAACTTATTCTAAAGCAGAGATAATTGATATGGTGCTTGTTCCTGGTAAGTGTCATAAAAACTGTTCATTGGCTTCTAAAGTTTATGGCCAAAAATACCCGGATCGAGAGAAACCTGACAGACGTGCTTTTGAAAGATTACTACAACAGTTTAAAGTTAGCGGAAATGTAGATTATAAAAAAATTATTAAGCCTCAACCTATTATAGGAGATCATGATAATGCATTTTGGGTTATTGGCTCACTAATAGAAAACCCACATACAAGTCATCGGGCTATTAATAGAGAAACTGGAATAAGTAGGAGAAATATTGGACAAATAATAAAAAAACATAAATTTCATCCTTATAAGATACAGCTGCACCAAGAACTGTATCAAAGGGACTTTCAACAAAGAATAGATTTTTGTTTATCGGTTATGGATAAAGTAGAATTAGATGCGGATTTTTTTGATAATGTTCTGTTTTCGGACGAGTGCACGTTTTATAATAATGGACTCGTTAATCTCCATAACTTTCATTATTATAGTGATGAAAATCCTCACGTCTTTCGTACTCTCGATTATCAGCATACGTGGTCCTTGAATGTGTGGGGAGGAATATTAGGTTTACATGTTATTGGTCCTTATTTTTTTACCAGTCATCTTAATGGCAGAAAATTTCTAACATTTTTGCGGAAAAAATTATCTGGGCTCCTTGATAATGTACCTTTAAATACTAGGCAGAAAATGTGGATGCAGTTGGATGGAGCCCCCGAATATTTTCAACTTCGAGTACGACGATACTTAAACCGGCTTTTAGTTAATAAATGAATCGGAAGAGGTGGTCCACATAAGTGGCCTCCAAGATCTCCAGACTTGACGTCGTTGCATTTTTTTATGGGGACACATAAAAACTATAGTTTATAATACCCCACTAACTACTCCGGAAGATATGAAAGCTAGAATAAGAGCTGCTTTTCAGACAGTAACTGAAGAAATTCTTCTCAAAGTATAACGATCCTTTGAAAAACGAGTTCAGTTGTGTTTAGAACACTTTGAACATTTTTTATAATTCATTTTTTGTTTTGTTTTCAATTTGTTTCTTACTCTTTTTCATTTGTGTGTAGTTTTCAAATAATTCAAATTTTCTTGTCATTAATTTTTTTTTATTAAAAAAATTATAGTTTTGGTTTACATTGAAACTATTTAAAATTGAAAAGTGATAATAGTATATTATTCAATAAATGTATAATATTGACCGTATTACACGAGTGTTGTAAATATTCGAGTGTAGTATGGTCCATTATACACGAATTGAATACTATACTTTATCTACAACTGAATACGGGGCTCACCGAAAACGAAAAGGGGATTTTTAGAAAAAATTCTTTGAAGTTGTTATAAATAGAATTGACAAGATTGTTCACAATTAAAAGACCTTTAAAATGAGGAGTATTTAAGCCACCGTGTGAAATAAAACGCCAATTTATACAGGAACTCGTTTAAAATTATTTATTGATGTAATTAATAGTAACGTTACAATTTAAAATATAGCTCCGGTAATATCATTGAGAAAAATTAGTGTTGCTATTGATGAGTACAGAATCATGACGATCACTGTCAGAAGATGAGAGATTATTAAGACCAACACAATTTTCAATATTGATTTGACTTAAAATTGCTTGAGCTGTTTCTATTTTGTTCTTTTTGAATTGGCGATGTACCCTAATGCTGTGGAGGCGGATTTCCAGCCTCCATGACGTTTTAATGCTATCATTGAAGCTCCAGAATCAGCAACCAATATTGCAGATGAACGCCTGAGGCAATGGCCAGTATATCTCTCAGGGTTTGGTAATTGTAAAAACGTGTCAATTTGCTTTCCCATTGCGCTAAACATGTTTATTCCTATCACTTGTTTTGTATACTTTCCTTTTTGGAAATTGAGAAAAAAATCTTGTGGTGCATTTTCGGGCCGGAGGTCTATATATTTTTTAACGATTTTGAAAAAATTATCCACAATTGTGAAATTCCTTGGGACTTTGGTTTTTGTGTGTGACACGTTTACTTGAAAACATCCCTCAAAACATCTTAAATCCCCAATTTTCATATTCTTTAATTCACAGGATCGGCAAGCACCCATGACCCCCATAATCAAGGCAACCTTAAAAAAATGTGTAGATTAAGTTAAAGAATTTTGATTTTCGATTCGAGTTTTTACCTTTGTTCCAAGATATTTAAAATCTGGGGCTTCCTTTATAAACATCTCAATTTGTTCACCAGTCAGAGCTTCAGATTTCTTAGGTTCATAATTTTCGGATCGTCTTTTCAACAAAGCACGTAATTTTGGATATTTATCAATGTCGACATTGTTTTGATGTTTAACATGCTTTTTAGTATGCAATAGTTTGTCCATAAAGTAGACGATTTGTATTTACTAGAAATTTTCATAAAATATACAAGCACAGTGTCTTCGAAAAAAGAGGATACATTTTTTGTTTGTTTCCACGACATAAATTTGTTGTATGCAATCTCATAATTTTTCCTCGATATTTCAGGTAATAATTCCAACGCCACTTTAGCCACTTTAGCCACTTTAGCAGCGTCGCGGATTTCAGGAGGTGTTAGTTCCTGGTAATCATCGTCTTCCATTTTTTTAATTAATAAACAATTAAAATGGGCTTAATATTTTAAGTTTAATTTCAAAAAAGAATCGGGAACAACGAATAACTATCAACATGCTGTCAACTAACTTGTCAAACGCATAATAGATCTAATGATTTTTAATTCTAGTGGGGGTATAATTGACAAAAATCGTGTAATATGAATATATTCTCACTAGTGATATATGGATTGCTTTATGTTGCCTTAAATACGCATATAATACATCCATATAATGACAGTTGTAGATAAAAATGTTTATTTAATTCAATACCATATTTTGCGTGATATTTGCTGCTTTATGGTTACTATGATTAAAAAATAATATGATAAAATCCGTATGTTAAAAATATAAAACATCGAATTTATGTATAGGGAAATCTTATATGGAATAAAAGATAATTTAAATGTCTATCAGTTTATGTTATTAAATACAGGGTGTGCCATTTAAAATAGGAATATTATTCAACTCCAGATGTAAGTCGAATTCAATTAGACTAAATGAGTACCCTGTATGATGTAATGAAAAAATTTGCATTTTATTTGATAGTCTAATATCTTGGCTACGCATGTCGCAGATGACTGTTAATGTGTTTTAAATAACTGCGACATACTAGGTTATGTTGTTCAAGGTTACAAATTAAGAATCCTTTAAATGTTTCAAAAACGAAAAGAGATAGGTATAGGAAACATTACAGAAACTCTACTTTATTTTTTCCGGGGAATCAATAGACACCATCAAATATAGGGTGTTCTCTATAAAAAAAACAGAGTTTTGATATTAATTCCTATTTTTGGGTCACCCTGTATAATCCAAATTATTTTTAATTTGCTGTGTTAATAGCCCTGTATATCCCTATTAAGAAAAAAATTGAAATTTTAAGTTGTATTTCCTACATAGACCGACGCGTATAAGATGCGCCACCCTGTATATAGTTATTAGTTTAATTATAATAAGTAGGTATTTAGTTGTCATAATACTTACATAAAAAGTTGTATTCTGGTTAGATTTATTTAATAGTCGTGAATAAAGTATAGTATTCTACTCGCATATAATGACTACGGCTCGTGTTGTAAATTTAATTTTAGTAAATAATAGCTACCATTATATACTCGTTGAATAATACTATTAAATATTTTTAATCCAGGAGTTAAAAATAAATGGTTTTTATTAGATTTAATTTTTCTGTTATCATCTTCTTTTTATGAAATAAATGCATTGTAAGTTTTTAAATTATCACCCTGTACATAAAAAAACTTTTGATTCTGAATAAGTGAGCTAATATTGTTAAAACTCCCTGTATTAAAATCATTTTAACTATAATAGTTATTTTAACTATAATAGTTATTTTAACTAGAATGGTATAATCTAAATTTTACTAGAACGCCACTGGTAGTGCAAAAAAAATTAATTTTGTCCAATTATTTTAGTCATATATTTTAGATGGTGGTAATTTTTTTTCAAAAATTTTGCCTTATCCAAAGAATACAATAGTTTTTTTTACTACTTTTTACACTGTAGAACAATTGCCAGTTTTGTGCGTTTGTTGCACATATTATTTTAGGTCATTCATTGATTGAAAATTATTCTATCATTTTTTACATCGTATTTGGAATTATCCTATATATAAATTAATAATTCTTTAACTTTGTTCAAAAATTTCAAATAATCAAAAAATATTTTATGAAAGCTTTTTAGAATAAAATTTGGAAAGATTTCATCTGAAAACACGTGAATATAAAAGTAAAATAAAAACATCACTTACCAAAGTCTTCATGGTAACTTGTATTCAAAAACTATTAACTTGACATTGTCTCGGACGTATTTATAGGCGACTTAATTTGGCCATCCTGAAATACTGCAGTCAACCTTGCTGCCCCTGAAATTCTCAATTGCCGAATCGATTTCCTTATTTTAATTTAAAATGAACGTATTGCTAAATAACTTCTTCCGATATCCGTATTGATTGATTACTAGATGGATTTGGGCGTTATTGAATACCAGGTGTCGCAATATTTATTTGCCTACAGATATGAATTAGTATATAGTAATTATTTCATGTGTCATGGTATAGGCCAGTGGTCGCCAACCTCTCAATGTGTTGAGCTACTTTGTTAATTTTGGAATAAACAGCGAGCTACCCACACGGAAGCCACGTAACGCAACGTAAATGAAATAATCCACAGTTAATTTATCATTATATGTATTTATTTTACTATTTAACTGGTAATACATAATACATAGGTACTAATAACAAAATAACTAATATTGCTAGTACGTACTTGTTCATAGCTACATTCCTACCAACCAAACGAAGGTGTTTGAATAATAAACACAAACTTTTATCCAGCCACGACGGCATGTCACGTAAGATTTAAACATAGTTAATAATAACAACAAAAAAGTAACACACTATCATGAACATAAACATTAAAAAATAAAAAAGCACGTTCAATGAGAAGGCGACACTCAGACTCATCGATAATTGTTTTAATGTTTGCAGTATAATTTGATACAGCCATTCGAATACAATTAACCAAATGTTCATCTGTAAGTCGATTGCGATATTTGTTCTTAATAAACTTCATATTGGACAAAGAAAATTCACACAAATATGTTAAACTGAATAATGCTTTCACTTTCAAGGCAACCCGGCATAGAACTAAATATTTGTCTTTACTTACAATAGGCCAGATACATTTGGTACTTGAGACTAACGATTTTAAGGCTAAATCATTTTGAAACTCAATTACTTCTATTTCTGTTGCAGCGATGTCTTCGCCAAAGTTCTGCATAACACAAATTGCAAACTGTTGGATATCAATTTCCATAAAGGGTGAAACAACAAACTGCGCTACTAAAGCTATTTCGTTGAAATCCTTAAAACGATTTTTGAAGTTATTCTTCAGGGTAGAAACTATTTCTTCATGATATTTGCTATCATAGGGTTCTAATGGATTTTGAGATATTTTTTCTGAAAGAATAGGAAAATGCTTGGCATCGCTGTTAATAAGGTTTCGTTCCCAAAACTCCAGCGTTTTGATAAATGCTTTTATATCAGAAATCATTTCCGCTAGTTCTTTGTCTCTCCCCTGAAGCTGCATATTAAGTTCGTTTAATTTCTCTGTAATGTCCACGAGAAAATCAAAATCTCTAAGCCAGATTGAATTTTCTAATTCTGGAGTCGGTTCATCGCGTTGTTTGAAAAATTGAACTATGCCAGATAGGACATCATTAAAACGTTTCAGCACCCGTCCTCTACTTAACCATCGGACTTTAAAGTAAAGGAGTAGGACCCCGTATTGACAGTCAACTTTATCGGCCAAGGTTTTGAATAATCTTCTTTGTAACGCTTGAGCTATAATCTTGTTCACAATTTTTACCACCAGTTTCATAACGTTGTTTAGTTTCAGAAAATGTATACATAATGCTTGCTGATGGATAATGCAGTGGTAACAGAGAAATTGCGGAAAAGTTTCATCTTTACGATACACCGCCACCAGACCCTTATCACAACCCACAATAGCTGGAGCGCCATCGGTTGTCAAGCCTACCATTTTCGATATTGGAATTTTCTCGGAAGAAATAATATTTTTTAAATGAGAAAACAACTCCTGTCCAGTAGTGTGTCCTTTCAGTGGAATAAACTTCAAAAGATCTTTTTTAATCGTAAAATCACTAAAAACCATCCTGACGAACACGGCCATCTGGGCAGTGTCAACGACATCTGTTGATTCATCCAGTTGAAGTGAAAAATAAACACAGTTATCTAGGTCCGTTCTTAACTGTAAAAAAATATCATTGCTCATTACTTCTACACGTTTCATCACTGTATTAGCAGAAAGTTGCATAGATTTTATAGCTGAAACTATCTCGTCTTTATTTCTAAAGTTGGCAAATAACGAATCAGCAGCTTCTAAAAACGCCTGTTTTATCATTTCCCCGTCTTCATAAGGTTTCTTTTTTTGTGCAATTATCTGGGACACACGGTACGATGCTTCAGTTGCAGCCTTATTTTTGTCGACTGTTCTTAAAAATACCGCTTGTTGTCCAATTAACTGCTTTTTTAACTGTTTCAGTTTCTCCTTTCTGGCGGCATAATGTAGTGGGAATGATTTTTTAAAATTAGAATGTACAGTTTTATGATGTCTCTCAATATTTCCTTTTTTAGCAACGGAGACCGAAATATTACATAACAAACACACATTTTTATCTTTAACTTCTGTAAAAAAGTATTGTTCTTCCCATTCCGAATGAAAGTGGTATGTCTTTACCTTCTTACAACTGCTTGCCATAATATTATTTTTTGTTGTTCTCTACTAACCCAACCGCTGGACGTTGGTTACGCGTTCAGTTTTAAACTAAGCGCAATGTCACCGCGCCGGTGCGTATTTATCCCGTTTAAAGCAATCCTGATCGTCCTCGAACACTAACGCGCTGGTCCGGCTGGTCGGTTCTAGCCGATTCTAGCTTGATGGCGTCAGCGGCAGATCGCTCACCGCAACGATGCCGCTGTTTATGTTTAATATTATGACAATTAGATTTTTTTGTGGAATTTTCGGAAGCTTCTCTGATTTTTGCAGTTTGTATTTTTTAAATTAAAATCGTTGTGAGAGCTGCCAGAATTGCCTCCGCGAGCTACCGGTAGCTCGCGATCGACAGGTTGGCGACCACTGGTATAGGCAATCTAAATTAGTAATTAACGAAAATTAACATAAAAGAAACATCAATTTATTTACATAGCCATCAATTTATAAAATCAAGAATATTAATTCTCCTAAAAGAATATCTTTTTTTTTTATTTCTTTGTTTGCACAATATGACTTTGTATAGATTTTTATAGTTTTCTTCGGCAGCAATTTATGTGTACTCAAAATCAATAACAGAATGGTTTGTTTTTATTTGGCACACAAAATATGTCACACTAACGCAGCGTATTCAAACAGCATTGTTTATTTAAACATTTATTTACATGTTATAATAAAACTCCCGTTTAAATACAGCATTGGTCTTTAGAGCAATGTTTAACTTGTAAGTATGACTATAATAAATAACTACACTTTCTCAACTATCATTGATCAATAAATGAGGCACATTTCACATTGCAAAATTATTTTATTAAAATCGTGTCTATCATGAAATGTCAAATAGTAAATAATAATTATCTAGAAGAGATGTCATTTTTATTTTATATACAGGGTGAGTCATGAGGAACCTTACAGACTTCTACCATATGTAGAGTCCCTTAAGGGGTATATCATATGAGCATTAAAAAGTGGCAACTCCCCTTCGTTATTAATAGACGGGGTGTTTTGTGAATTTTGACAAAACTTTATATGGCCGAAAAATCTACAAGGATTACTAGATTTCTTTAATTTTTTGGTGGAGCATTACACTAGTGTCTAGCATTTAATTCATAACATCAAAAGTTAAAAAATCCAGGATTGGCTTAGGAAAAATTAATCTCGACGATTCATATAAAAAAGTTCGCCCTGTATAAGATTTTTTTAAATTATAATAAGATATTTTTAAAGTACATAGATAGACAATCAAAACTGTGTATGTGACATTTTTGTCACCTTTTTTTTTATTATGGTTCGATTTTGGGTAAAACTGAAAAATCACCTTAAGGAGTCATATAAATTATGTTATAACATAAAGAAAACATTGTTAATTCTATGCATTTGAACTAAACGAGCCAAACATAAGCCTTTAGTGAGCTTACTAGATCGTTAAATTCATTTTCGACAATTTCTAGATCCGGATTAGTTCATTTTTAAATTTTAAATAGAAATCGGCCTATTTTTGTAGACTATAGAAACTACTCAACTAAATTAAACATGTCAATAATCAATAAATAAATTGTAGCGAATAAAAATAACGAACAATAAATTCACACTTATTAATTAATAATTATAAATGCTATTTATTAACCTCTAATAAAAATTGCACATTTTATTCTTGCAACTAAGATATTATGTGGTTTTATTTTTATTATAAATACATAGTAGGTACGTATGTATCAAGGTAGGTTGTGATAGTTTGACGTTTGTTTGTTCTTATTTATTTGTCATTTGCAACCATTATTTATACGCGTAAAATAATATTTCGCTTTGTTTTATCTATTTTACAATAGTGTTAGAATTTTTGTTGTTGGTGTTGTTATTCAAAATGCCCAATAAGTTTTCAAATGCAGAATATGCAGATATCATTTTTATGTACGAATTCTGTAATGGGAATGGCAGAGCTGCAGCAAGAGAATATCATAGAAGATTTCCTGGTCGTCGAGTTCCTTGTCATTCAACATTTGCATCAGTTTTTAATTATTATTTGCGAGAACATGGCACATTCCCTAAAGCAAATACAGAACGAAATGTAGATCATGAGCAGGAAGATAATATTCTTGATGCTGTTATTGCGAACCCCACAATAAGCACCAGGAAAGTAAGTCGACAACTTTATGTTACCCAATCAAAAGTGACTAGAGTCTTACGAAAAAATAATTTACACCCATATCATATTCAATTAGTTCAGCGGCTACACCCTGGAGATGAAATCCATAGGTTGGAATTTTGTAGGTGGATTGCAAATCATAGACCAGTACTGTATAGAACATTGTTTACAGATGAAGCACAGTTTACAAGGGATGGGATAAATAATTCCCGTAATTTACATGTGTGGGCAGTAGACAATCCCCATGCTGTTCGAGAGTTTCGGTCTCAGTTAAGGTTTTCCGTGAACGTGTGGATTGGTGTGATAAATAACCAAAATAACCCAAATACTTTGCCTAATTTACTTGCCAACGTAGGTATCCGAGGGATGTAT